ATTGAAGTATATGTTACATTTCATAAACTTCATCTTCAAGTATATAATTGAATGGCTTTTAGTAACATCATCAAATAAATTAACTAACACTATAATCAGTTTCTGAATATTTTCATTTCCCCAAATTAGGTCCCTTAGGTCTTTAAGTTAATTTCCACCCATGCCTCTCTTCTACTTTTAGCCCTAGACAATACAAACCTGTTTCTACAAATTTGCCTTTTTCTGGACATTTAAATGGAACCACACAAATGAGGCATTTTACATCTCGACTCTAACTTTATTGAATAAAAATAGAAAATTTCCTTTAACCTTTAAGAGAGAATCACATATTTAAGGAAATCCATCACCCTCTCAATATCAAATAGCATTCATCATCAAAAACTTAAAACTATTAACTCTGTTCTCTAAGTTTTAACGTTTAAAAAATTCCTGAAAATAATATAATAGCATTAGAAACATATACAAAATTATCATTTGTTTATTTCACATGTTGAAAAGATAGTAAGACAGTTGTGCCTAAAGTTTCAAATCATTTTAACATCTCAAATTTCAATATAACACAGACATTCACCTCTTACTTTTTAAGAATGAATATAATGTTTCCCTTACTAGAATCCATATAAATGGCCAGTTTCTTAACATGTTAGCGAATATTGCATTTCAGTTTTTGTTATTTTCTTCATTGGTATCCTTAAAAGGAGTCAGAGAAGTTGGGCCCTCCCTGGTGGTGCAATGGGTCAGGACACAGCACTGCAAGCTGGCCACAGTCACTTCAGTGTGAGCTCCATCCTGGCCTCGGAGGTGATCCACATGTCATGGCAGACCTCTCCTGACCCACCCACAGTGTACTTCATCAATCTGCCTTTCTACTCCCCATTCCGTCTCTGGTGAAGACTCTCACTGCCCCTCCACCTCTGGCTTGTACGCCAGTTCTGTATGAATAAGTAACTAAATCTTTAAAAAAAAAAAAGGAATCAGAGAAGACTATCACATGTAGTAAGAGGATGGAATCCTGCTTTGCCAGGAATGGACCTGTCTGAAAACCTCACTTCTGCAAGTGCCTTTCATGGACTAATCTTGTCTACTGGGTTTGTATATAGTGGAAAGCAACAAGCATTTAGTCCTTTAGACTATTGCAGGTCACATTAGGCTATAGTTTTCAGTCTGTTATGAGATATAGAGGGATTAGTTAATGCTTTGATTGAATGAAGTAACTGGCCACAGAACACTTCTGTCTTTGGCTGGGAATGTAATATGAATTAGATTATTTTCCTGAAGTCTATTAAAATTAAGGGATAAATGACTGCTAGTTGTGAGATTTTATGAAGATGACAAAAAAATTTATGTGATTACAGCTCAGTGCCATTTTTAGACAATTACAGACATAAAAAATAAGTTATTTTTATAAGTTATAATGTTCCAATAAGCAATAGATACCCTGCTCCTCTTTAGTATTGCAAAACATCACATTTAAAATGTGCAGTTCTCTATACTTTTATTTATACAATCACTATGCAAGATAGAGAAAAATAATAAATACTAACTGATAACAATTACATTTCCATAACATCTTAATAAATATAATATATATAATTTCAAACTAAGAAAAAATATCAAAGTGAGTCAACTTGGGAAAAAAGTTAAGAACAAGGTCTAAATTCTAAAATACAGAGGTATCAAAAACAGCCAAAAATCATGTCCCAAAAGCCCCAGGAATTATCCTTTCACCTGTTGTTGAAAAATCACAGGACATTTCCCTATTCTGGAAATCTCAGTAGCAAAGGATCTTTCTAGGTTTCATCTTTGTTGATAACAGATACAGTAATTCTGTTTAAACTGTTATATATAAATGTGATTTCAAAAATAACATAATAGGCCCTCCCTGGTGGCTCAGCGGGTTAAAGCACAGCACTGAGAATCTAAAGCTACTTCCGCATGAGTTTGATTCCCACCTGCCCTGGAGGTGACCACATGGTGTGGCAGACCTCTCCTTACCGGCCCGCTCGCTGCTCCCCTCAGTAGTGTACTTCTTCGATCTGCCTGTTCTGCTCCCCACTCTGTCTCTGGTGAAGCCTCTTACCGCCCCTGAGCCTCTGGCCTGTACCCCAGTTCTGTATGCACAAATAAATAAATCTTTAAAAAAAATAACCTAATAACTTATTTTTACATCATTTTGAGCCTTTTCCCATCTCAGTTGTAATCCCTGTGGGCTTCCCACCACCAAATCACCTGTGTGCACTCCCCCACCATGTATAAATGTGATTTTAATAAGTGCACAAAAAATTTTATTTTCTTTTTAAAATAAACTTACCATACCATAATTCAAATAAGAGTAGATTTTACTTGTTTTTTTCTTGTCAAAGACTGACTAAAGAAAAAAAAAATCAACACTAGGAAAAGCCCTGCTAAATGCTTCTTAACAATTCTTTGAATAAATGTTGGTAAGCCAAGATAAATACTAAGGAAGCATAACAATCTATTAAATAAAATCCCCAACCTTTGTGTTTAAGACAGGGGCAATCATAAAATATTTAAGGAGAAAATAGGAAACTTCCATAAAGAAAAAAATTTAGTGATCTATTTAAATTTATGGCCTAACCCAGAGCAGTGGGTGAGCCACCCTCACTAGGGTGGTGCTGCCCAGTCTCTGCCAGGGCCTTTCAGAGGTCCTCATATCTCCTGGCTTACAACACCAGTTTCTTTCTCTTCACAGACTCACTATTAAGCATATAGACTTGCCAAATATTCGTGAAAAGATTAAAATACCCCAAATGAAGCAAAAAAATATGAATACAAAACAACCAATCAATGCTTTCTGGACTGAGTCCCCCTGTAGACAATGGCTGGTTCTTGCCTTCCCTTGAAGGTGGGAGGATTCTCTATGCCTCTTCATCTTGAGTAACCAGCAACCTCACAGGTACTCGGACTGCAAGGGGTAACCCCAGAGCCTCTCTGGTGGCCTCCCAGTACCACTTAATATGTCTTTAGACTTTACTTCTGCCTATCTGTCACAGGAAATTCTATAAAATACAAATCTTTTTATATCATTTTATATACTGCTTAAAATCCTGCAAGAACTACCATCATTTTAAAGGAAAATACTCTATATGATGTTTTTCAACACTGGAACTATCTAGCTTAGCCTCTTCACCCTCCCCCACTTTCTGCTGTGGTTCCAGGCACTGAGTCCATCAATGCATGTGAAATTCTCCTCCAAGATATTCTGCCACCCTGAATGTCTTGCTCATGTTTTATTTAATTTATTTTTGTTGTCCTAGAGACACCTTACTTTGATTTCCCTGTTTGGTAAACTTCTACTTCCTCCATCAGCCTTAGTTCGAAAGTTGCCTTCTTCCTGAAGTATTCGCTGATCCACTTCTCTGAGCCCATCCTCCATCTGCATGGACTTTGTGGACCGTACCTCAAATTTCTTAGGAGGCGCGCCTCATTCTATGACCTTCTCATCGCTCCATTTCCCAGCTCCTGGTGTAGTGGCACTTAGTGAATGTGTGTTTTATGGTAATATTCTATATTTATTCACATCTTTTTCTCCCCAAGGGCAGGACTTATACCTCTGATCCTCTGCATATTCCAGCACCCAGCAAGTACCACAGAGAAAGACCTTGATAAGGAATTAATAACTGTGGAAGGAAACACTGTATGTAACTGCCTCCAAGCCTTCCTCCAGCCCCTCTTGCAGGCTGATAAAAGGCTGCTTTTCCTATTATATCAAGTTAGCATGGTGACTACCCCCTGCTCTACTGAAACTTCACTGGCTTCATGTTATTTCAAGGATGACCACCAGCTTCCCTATTTCAGTTCCTCAGCATAGAAATGCTTTTTCCTAGATCTTCATGGATTCTCTCCACCTTCATATCTCACTCAGTCCTTTTTGCCTACGTAAGTTAAAACTCTTTTTTTTGTAATTAAACTGTTTTAGGTTCTAAATACTACCATTTATTGGAACTGACATAACTTTCCCCACAGGTTTTTATTCTGTTTATTCTAAGTGTCTTGACACTGCCTCTCCTCATTAGAATGTAAAGTTCATAAACACATGGGCCTGGAGAGCTCTGGTCATTGCTGCATTGCCTGCCTACTTTCTGGAACTGAAGGTTAAGTGCCAGACACTTGTTCAATGAAGGGAAGACTGAATGTAAAAATATTTCAGGTTGCCATTCAAGGTCCTTGATGACCTGACCTCATGCGACTTTCCCAGTCTCATCTCCAATTTCTTACATTGCAACTGTTGCCAATTCTGAAATAACCAGGATGTTTCCTAATAGGATTTCTATAAAAACCTTGTCTTCTTTCTCTCCATATATAGATATTATCTTTTAAATCCAGTTCAAATTCCTTCTTTTCTATCAGGCAGTCTAAAAATGGTGAGTACCTTAAAAATATTATTTATCTATTTAATATCTCATATGTCTTTCAATTCTCTAGAACTCTCTATCTTGTAATGGAATTTTTAAATTTTAGAAAGAGGTTTAAGCCACAGTAAAAGAAAAAATTCTTACAAGGAAAATTCTATAGGCTAGGAGTAGACAGGATTTAGACCATATTTAACCTATTTTAAGAAAATTTTATAATGGCATGACTCTCTTCAAGTATACCAAGGAAGTCTGCTTTTAAGGATAAAGCACAACATGAACAGTTAACAGATAACATTCAAACTTTGGTCATAGAAAGATGTTCCCTTTAATTGCAGATTGTTTTGGCCACTGAACATCTTCTGAAAAGGCATCCAAAAAGTAACTCTTTCATCATCAAATTAGGAGTTTAGTGTAGCCTCATTGATTAAATAATTTATTTTAAACAGGACATAAGATACCCAGGAAAGTGTCTGTGATAAGAACTATTAGAAAATGGCTTGAACTTCAATTTTACTGATCTGTGTTCTGTGGGCCGCCAAGATAGATCTGTGAACACACATATAGATACAGGTCTGTGTATCATGGAAGCAGAATGTAACATGTCAGCAAACAAAACAAACGCACCTGAATGTCAACTTGGCACCAGGAGGGTCTTCTGCAGAATCCATGTCATCCCAGCGGGATTTTCTGCGGTTTAGCCACAGACTGACACAAGGAATACCATCGGATAGCTCTGGGTGTGGTACTCTGAGGGCCTGAAGAGATCCCTCACTCCTGGACTTTGGGATCTGGAGAATAAAATTTAAGAAAAAAGAGAGGTAAATTCAAAATATTTCAAACTAGGTTGCTGAAGGCCATTTATTAATAATCCAACCTATTATTGACAAAAAAAATCAAACTAAATATTACATTTAAAATATACATAAAAATTCTCATATAGCAAAAGGTACAGGGAAGGGGAGATACCAGTATTTCCAAGGGGAACTTTCAAATCATATTCATATTTGGTCCACATTCTTTTCCTGGATTCTGATGAACTCTCCTCCAATCCTACCCCACTTTAGAACAATCATGCTGTGTAATGAGGGTTTATGGAAGTATATCAGACTGACAATATGGAGTAAAAAGAAGAAATAGTTGGAAAAAACCAGAAAACAAACAAACAAAGGTTGAGAATCGCAAAAATAAAGATTATTTTAATGTCATAAAGATATCTGGAAACATTTACTACCAACCAACAAAATAACAGCAGTTTGCTAACGGTATTTCTACTATAATTCGCTTTTGCAGGAAATAATTTGGTTCAATTAATTTTTGATAAGGTAATAAATAGGAAAAATACAACTATTTTCAGTGCTCTTAATCTCTAGAAGCAGAGGCAATGCACATGCCAGATAAACCCCAGGTGTACTAACTTCTCCTATCTGAGGTTACACATGACCTCCAAACCCAGAAATACTCCATGTCCTCTGATCAGAAAGAAAGAAGAGCAGAAACCAGCATTCTGTCCTGGAAATGCGTAAAAAAAAATTCTGAATTGCAGGAAATATTCCAAATCCTGATCAATTATTTATGTTACACTGGAAGTTTTTTATCATCTTGGGGACATTTCTCATGCTTTCCTTTTACCCGGTATGCCAGCTGTTCGTCACTGGCCACTGACCAATTCTAAGGCCAAAACAAATCATAACTTTCTCTAAGACTGATCTAATAATCCACTGCCCACAAAGCTGCTCTAATTTGCCTCAAGTATTAATGAATACCCCCCTGCTCAATCTATACTTGATCACCTGTTTCTGAAGCCTGACTATTAGTTGTCTCGTATTTGTAAATTAGATGGCCTCAACCAGATCTCTGGAGACAGGTTAGGCGTCTTCCCAGTTCTTTTTTTTATATCCCTCCCTTCTTCCCCTTTTTATCACCGTTAACATGTTTAGCAAAGCTTTATTAACCCACTGATAATACTTACTGTAAAACACACTTATCAACTACAGATATCCCTAAGACACTGACTAGCCAGGGGTTAGGACACCAGACAGTTTGAAAAGTATTATGAGGACAGTATAAACATGAATATTTAATAAATCATAATATTCACATGTTATGATTATACATATTAACATAGAAATAATTTAGCAAAAAGTTACACTTAACACTGAGCAAAGAAAACAATAAAAGCTAGCTTTTATTAATGTTATGTAAAATCAGGTCAAAGCTGGTGATAACCAATAAAATATTCACTACATTTCTTTATATTCATAAGCTCATGAAAATCAAGGAAGGCAATTTTAATTATGAACAAAAACATTTTTATAATGAACAGAGAAATTTGCCAAGATTATCTGAAAAAAATGTTCAGATAAATAGCAAAAGAACACAAAAACTACAAATACATGCTATTACATATTTCATAAGCAAGTCCTTTTTATTACTTTTAATAAAAGTGGGTATAAAAGTAAATTTAAAAAATGAAAAAGCAACAGATTTTAATCTAGTCAGCTAATAATCTCATATGTAGACTTAATTTCACAACATTAAAATGAAAAGTAACGTTTAGCAAAAAAACTTATTTACTAAATAAAGATAAATTATTTGAGGTTCAATGATAACTTTGGGATTTTCCATTTGGTTTAGTAATTTATAGAAAGCAGCACTATGTAGTTTATTTTATTCTATCACATTTCATTAGAATAAAGTACATAGTACAAATCACTTTGAACTCAGGATATAGTTGCTGAACTATATCCATACACTTATCTAAGTGTCTCTGTGTAATGAGTTAATTTCCATGGAAATAACACAGAAATGACTGTCATTAACCATGAGCTTTTATATACACCCAATAAATACAAAGCTTTTACATAGAACAAGAAAATACCATGTGATGTTTATGAGAACAAAATTGTTAGGAAAAAGTGCTCTAACACAAACTACTAGAATGTAGAGAACATACACACATTGCAAAAGGGCTGTTCATTTTTAAAAGTGACTAGTGATATCTCCTTCAAGATATTCTTTGAAGACTATACATTTTCAATATAGAAATGACGACTACGGGAAAAAGAAGCATGAGGAAATTTTAAAACCTGCTGTTTATATTATATAACATATAGCAGAATTTATTTTCATAAAATGTATGAACTTTGAGGAAAAGAGATTTTTTTACTTTTGCAGAAGTTAAGCTTTTTAGGAACACATGGTTTGAGACTTGATCTTATAGGTAGAAGGGACGGTTTGATTTTTATTCCTCTGGGTGTTCATTTCAGCCTTCATATTGCTTAGTGGTGACTTTCAGGTGGTGCTCAAGGCCTCTTTCACCATAGAACTTCTGAGAAGCAAACTGATATAATCCTACGAAGACAAGGGTACAAAGGGGCATGTTTTTGCAGTGCTCCCTGAGAGCAGCGGCTCTCATACAGAGTCAACTTTATCTGGAGACACTTCTGGTAGCTGTGATGGGAACGGAGCTGCATGTCATGGAAGCCACGGGGCAGTGCACACCCAATGCGCAGGACTGCCTGCCGTGAAGTGATCTGGTCCAAAATGTCAGGAGAGCTCAAGTCGAGAAACCTTGCTTTGGAGGTAAGAATAGATCCATAGGGAGACAACTCTTTTCTTTATATACTGCTGTTCTGTTTTAGTTTCCCTGTTTACTATTGGTTTGTTAAAAGGAAATAGGTCAAGATAAGCTTTGAGTTTAGCAGAAATGGGCCAGGGAGGCCTAGAGGCTGCCTGATGTAGGCTAGGGTGACTCGTGACTCCATGAAGTTCAGGTAACCGCTGTAGGGAGGGGCACCAAATAAAGTGAAAAGCTGGAATGTAGCAGGTAGAATAAGTGTGCTTGTATAGACCTGCTCCATCCCCTTCATAACCTGTGGCTGCAGGAAGCAATTTGCCAAGGATTTGGAGTGGTAAGTTTATCTGTCCACTAGAATTATCCACTAGTTCATATCACAGATGCTGCTTGATTTTAGTTATTTCTTCATGATAACTTCTGTAGTGGAAGGTATAAACTGTAAATGCCCCCAAAGCATTTATGAGCAGTATTTTGCACAGAGCTCTGCTACTGGCCACTTGAGATAAGAATCCAGGCATATGCTGTGTCATGTGTGTGAACAACTGAAATACAAACAATCCCAGGAATGGTAGAAGAGCACATTCCCGGCATGTATTTGCAGGTAAGGAATAGCCCACTTGAGCAGTAATTTTAGCTACTTTAGTATTTGTGATGCCATGGGGATAGAAACAGAAGCTGTAAACTTAGGAAATATTCTCATAAACGCTGTTGCTATTGTAGTTATTGAGTGTTTACTGAGCATTTACTTTGTGACAGTCTCAGTTCTAGGGGATTTATATAAAATAACCTATTTAATTCTTTTTTAAATAATTTCTTTTTTAAAAAAGATTTATATATTTATGCATACAGAACTGGGGTACAGGCCAGAGGCACAGGGGCAGTGAGAGGATTCACCAGAGACAGAGTGGGGAGCAGAACAGGCCGATGACAAAGTAAACTGCTGAGGGGAGAGGAGGGCAGTCAGGAGAGGTCTGCGGCACCATGTGGATCACCTCTGGGGGCAGGGATCGAACTTGCACTGAAGCAGCTGTGGCTTGCTTGCAGTGCTAAGCTTTAGCCGGCTGCACCACCCAGAAGGACCACCTATTTAATTCTTGCAACAACCAAAGAGGCAGAATTATTATTATTACCATTTCACAGAGAAGGGAACTGAGGAAATGAATAGTATGACTATTTGTCCCAGTGAGTAAATGGCAAAGTTACGGTTAAGAGCCCAGAGGCTTAAGCCACAGTGACTGTGCTTGCCACTACGCTCTGTATTTGGTTAAATGTTAAACATTAGCATTTTAAGAAGAAAAGATAAAGATATTTTTGGATGAAAATCAGATTATACCCCATAGTGGAACTCATTTTCTTACTTGTTTTTAACATTAGTAATTAAATTTACCTACCCATCTACAGAGGCAATCTACCAATACAATGGTAGAGGGAAAAATCAGCATGAGGTGACTAATTTATGTGGAAAACATGTTCATCATCATGTCCATAAACCCAAAGTATAAGCATTCTAAACAGTCAAATTACTATAACTGGAAATCACACCATAGTCAAATGATGGGTTATTTAGTCATTAAAATATCTACAAAGATTTTAGTGAGACTGCGGAGTTCCTTTGTTATACACATGACCTCAGTTAGCAAATAAAAATACATATAGTCATTTATCAACAATAAAACTTGTACAGTCACCACACTTAAAACATGAATAAACTTCAAGTCAAGAAACAAATTCTGTCACAGCCAATAGTACAAATGCCTGAGATGGTTTCATCTTTAAAAACTGAACACAAAATACAGCACCAGAAAAACATGTCTGTGCTGTGAAGTTATGATTTATCCTAATACTCTGATATGACTAAAAATAAGAGGCATTTAAAAAATAAAGCTCTTCACCTTAATATTTGTCAATATTTCTATCACTGTGAGGGCTGACAGTAGTCCAGGTACAGCCTCTGTCCCAAACGCAAGTGTAGGGCAGGAACTACCAGCCTGCAGTTCTGAAACAAGTGAGTGGCAGGTGAATGAGGAGGGACTCAGTTGGCTGAAAGGGAAGCCAGTGTTACTGAAATTCCTTGGTGTTGGTGAAATGGGTTTCTTCCCCAAAAAGTAATATACAAGTGAATCAATGGCAGAAAAACTTCTAATAATTTAGCATATAAGGTAAAGTATATAAGGTATTATAATCAGGCAATATGAATTTTTTTTAAAATTT